ATTAGGTAAACTTCCTGTATAATTGCAACATTATAAGTAATAATTTAGAATAATTTGAATAAGATTATAAATACTAATCAAGAATTCCATTCATCCGTTCGAATGAAAAACATCAAAACGAGTAAAGCGGTCTATAATCTTTGCAACATTCACTTAAGTGTAATGAAAGATGTAAATTTGGTGTTATAAAATCCTTTCCATAATTAATTTCAATAAGTCTTAAAGTTCAATTAAATAGTTATATGCAACATTTAAATTTTCTAATGTTATTATTCTTCGAACTAATATAGAATAAGCTTGACTAAAATGGATTAATATTTTTCGATCTTCTTAATCTAAAAAATCCCAAAGAACAACTTTAGCATATATTAAAAAAAAATTCTTCCATTCATTAGCTGTTAAATTAGAAAACCCTTTTCCAATATCAATTTTATGTGAAATTCGTCCAATTTCTGATGGTGGATGAATATTATTCATATGCTTTTGAATTTTCATTAAATCATTCAAAGTTATTTTGCCATGCCCTATCCAAAGCCGTTTTATGATTAAAGATGCAATTCCGATAAATAAATTATGCATCGGATCTACAGGTAAAAAATGGATTGAATTGAAATAAGGTAAACGGAGCATTTCTGACCATCTTACATGTGATTTCCTTGCATGTCTTTTTCTAGCTTCATTGCTTTTGCATTTTCTCCATTCTAAAGCTGCTTCTTAATGTTCACTTGCATCCTTAGCAATAAACCATTCATTAATATCATCCATACTGCCGAAATTTCTGTTTTTTGCAACTTTTAAACATCTATGACAGCATACAGTGGCTGAATAATGGCCACATAATTTTCTAGTGGCTGGGATATCACAACAACAAGCAATTATTGCACACTTGATCAATCTACCAAATAAATATTCAAAAGTTTGATCTAATATTACACCTTCTCATAAAGATTGAAATTGATCAATGATTGGTGCTAAATAGTGGTTGATCTGGTGTAAACTTGCTTCATTAGGACCTGGCATTAATCCTAAAATAAGCATATTTTCAGGTTTAAAGCGTAATTCTCTTGGAAGATTATAAATAGCTCCGTATATAGCACCGGAACTATGAACTGTCCTTTTGAACGGCTGAAACCAGTCAACGTTAATCATAATACCTAAATGATCATCTACATGTTCTTTATTAAAAATTTCTGTTCATTTAAGAGCTCTTCTATATCATATAATTCTCCATTGTTTGAAAACTTTTTCCAAATATTGCCGTTATATATATCATACAAGATTTCTTCTTGAACATTCCGATTGGTCCATAATTTTTTTCGAAATCTGGCCTTTGATACATACGTAAAAGTTGATTTTTTATATTGGCCATTGGATAAATCAACAATGATGAATTAACGATTTTACCACCTTCTAGCTCTTTTTGTTCTGATAAAGAAGCATTACATTTTCGAAGAAAGTGATGGTGATGATTTGGAAATTGTATATGATCACATCTTTTTATCGCTTTCTGCTCTTGAATTGTGTGTTATTCAACATCATTTACATTATACAACTTATGACATGAAGGACACACTGAAAATGTGATGAATTGATATTTCAATCCCAATTTCTTTCTTGTAGTATATAAAGAAGTTGGAAAGTCTTTAAACTGATCATTATGATCCAGTTCCATTAAAACATGTTTAACAAACTTGATTAATGTGTCAGTTGCTGTATCTGATAAGCGAAATCTGGTTTAGAATCTTAAAATGAATATAATGATCCATTCTTCATCGATATTTTGTAGATCATCAAAACTGTCAGAAAAATCAAAACCTGGTGGAGAATAATCTTCAAAAACATCAGCATCGCTATTATTGCTATTATCACTATTATTGCTATTATTGCTATTATTACTATTATCGCTATCATTATCATCGCCACCGGAACTTGAACTACTATCAGTATTATTATTATTATCGGCTTCTTTAGAATTTTCTCAAATAGTATTATTTCTGTTTCGTTTTCTCAGTTTCAAAGAAATTAATACTAAATTTTCTAATTGTAATGTACCTTGGAGTTCAATAGAAGATTCTTCAGCTTGGAGTTCGATAGAAGATTCTTCGTTAATAAATGAGTGTTGTGATAATTCAATCATTGGATCATTTTCATTTTGTAGCAAAACGGATGTGTTTGTAGCAACATTTTGATTTATTGAATGTTTATTTTTGGTTCTTGAATCAACATAAATTCCGTTACATTTACTACAAAAACACCTCACTTGATTTCTTGTTCTGGAACGTTTTTTAGTATTTAACATACTTGTAAATTTTCGATTTGATAAAAAAAAGAAATGAGAAGACAAAAAAATTATGAATTTTTCAATCTGAAATTTATATCGTTTTTTATTTGATAAAACA